CTTTGGTTCCTATTCACACTAATAAAAGCAAGTCAACTTCCTGCATTAAAATCTATAATGAAAATGATATAAACCCTAACAGCCCATGTGGGTGCAGTTAGTAAGGGTCCACACTCTTACATCATTGTCTTGTTTGCTTGGTAATGATATATGCCTTGGTATCAAATGCATTCATCAAAGAGAAGCAAGAAGGAAAAAAAAAAAAAAAGACAAGTTGAGAGTATGTGAATGAAAAACGAGAATTACAAAAAAGGTTTATTAAGTCTAGAATTTTAAGAACTCTAGCCAGTTTCTGTAAGTTTAAAAAAGAAACACAAAGAGAACAACTTTATAAGCTTTACATTTTCTTTTTGAATGAAGGCGACTCAAATTGTGGTACAAGGTTTCAATTTCTATCATATGGAGTTATCCTTCTTACAAGCATCTGATGTTTTTTTTTCCACATTAAGTAGAAGACCACTAGTTTTGAAAACTTGGGTGTTATTATGTGCCTATTTTCTAAATCTTATTAATATTTTATCTCTTTTGCTTTATACATAAGCAAACTAAAAGTCTAGGGTTTATGTACTCTATTCTACCTTATATTTAGCTTGGATCTCTTACCACAAACATCTTTTCATGAATGACAAGAGAGATATTTTCAATGCATGTATGTAGTGCAGCGGTAATGTCTTGTGGGTATAGATGTGGGAACAGGTAATGGGTAGGAGATCCGAAGTGTCATGTAGTGACATTGAGGGGCCATTTGATAACAGCTGAAATGGCTGAACTGAATGACTTATTGCTTTGTCTTTTAACCAATAAATAAAGGTTGTAAGTTCCTTAATGGCTACAGCTGAAGTTGTATTGATTACTATACCCTACAATGTTTTATAATTTGATTATTTTATTCATGAAAAGACAGAGCAATAAGTCATTCAATTTAGCTACTTCAGACATTATATATGAGCTAAATTTTTGGCTTTATTTTTGGAAAGGGAAAAACACGTTTGAGCCTAGGATTTAAGATGGACATAAAATTTTAAATATCTCTTTGATGTTTGATGTTTGATGATTGATGATTGATGATTGATGATCATATAATTCTAATTAACTGATTAGTGTTGACACATGAGAATGCCCCCGACACAATAGCTCCCTTATATATCAGTCATTGGCTCAAAATTTAAGAAGTTAATTATATTTTATATAGTTAAATTTTCATAGATACAAATTGCTCAGAGATAATCATTCTCATCTGATCATCATTCTGGTATTTCATTCTTCCTTTTGGTTGCATGTGAAGAGGAGTAGAATTTAGAAATTTAACCTAAAAGTTTCTTCACCCTTTTACAATTAGAGGCTGTGTTGGTCTCACATAAAATGAAGGAAAACAATGTTTTTTCCTCAAAATTGCTGTTTTTTCATGCTTGATTGCTCACAAATTATTCATAAAAAATGAATGTTGTTAAAAAAAAAAGGAGTAGGAGTAGGAGTAGGGAAAATAACATTCAAAAATTTGATTTTTGGTGAACCATTTTCCCAACAGAGAGGTGGTCCTGGTCCTTTGTTTTCTAAGTTACATCAAATGTCAGAAAAATCAGAAAAAAAAAATATTCATTTTGCAATTGAATATCATCGTCTTTTTCTTTCTTTCTTTTACATGTACTCCTACAGACTGAAACAATGGACCCCTTGACAAACAACTTGGTTGTTTGGTCTGGAGGTTTAGAACCTCAAATCATTCTGACTTTCAATATTCATTATTTTGGGAAAACAGCATAGTCCATCAAAGTGACAGTGATTTGGGAAACAAAAATTGGAAGAGCCAAAAAGCAAAAGATTAATGAGAACTTGTTATATGTTTTCAAGACAAGTAGTTAATGTCTTTCAGCCTTTAGGTCAAGTTAAGTTTGGTTTATTCAAATCAAATATTTTGATCTTTTGAAGTAAAGAATCAAGAACCGACCAGATTTGCTATTGTTTAATTAAGCTTTGAGAGAAGCTAAATGACTTAGCTTTTGGACAGTGTGTGAACCTTCTAGGAGGATTCTTGCTAATATGGATTTGCACGCAACATAGTTTCACTTTCACAAGTATAAGAAAGAGGCAAAATCTTCTCAAGTTCACGCCGGCAGATTGCCAACTATCACTCTATCAGGGCTGAAACAGAAAGCTGAGAAGTGTGTTTGGATCAGGGTGGAATTAGAATTGGGGTGAAGCCAATTCAGCAAGCTTCCTCATTCTGCTCTTGGGTTCAATTCCATAGTGGAGCAGAATTCATGGTTTTATCAATTGGCTGGTCCATTAAATCATTCAGCCTGTAGGGAACTATCAAATAATCAGGACCCAGAAAGCTCACTTGTTCACCGGTTCAACCTTCTGGTCTGATCCAAGTCTGACAGCACTGCTTCAATTATGCCCTTTTATCAGATTCAGATTTTGTAAGCTAGTGGGGCTAGTCATCTGATAGATGATTCATTTCCACTACCACGTCAGAATGACTGATGAATTTTTTTTTTCTCTCTTCCTAGTGATAGAAAGAAATGGCCTTAGTTGGAGAGGATGCATACTTGAACATGATTTTTTTTTTCTCAAATCAATACTCAGTGGAACAAGAAAAAGAAAAGATTTCCTAATTGGGTCTATTTCTGGCCCATCCATGCCCTAATCAATTATTTGACAAGACTTTGAGGCCAAAATTTGTTTGTTGCATTAACACAAGGCTGAGAGACAAACATGTGAGATCCCGTTATCACAAACATTGCCACGTGGAAGATTTCTGGGTGGTTAGAACTCTAACCCTAAACAAGTAAAGAAAGGCACCCACTGAAAACACCATACAATCTCTCTCTCTCTCTACTACATGCAATTGAGAACCAAGGGTTGTGATCAACCACTGTGTAGGTCCCACATATATTAGATTGCGTTACAGTCAAAACCAACATGAGCAGGTCAGCAGCTGCATATTTCCAGTGTACTACCATACTCTATTTGGGCTGGGGTGGGGGTGGGGGTATAAAATTATCTATAGACCGAGGCAAATTCTACGACTCTCTGGAGTTGGACTCGTTTAAACAGTGGATCCCACTCCAGTGTGCATTAGACACGTGGCATAAGAAGGAACTACCAGAGCTCTTAGTTAGAGGGTACGCCTAAATTACCACGTCACTCAAGATGAGAGGATTCGACCCATCCAGAGCAGCCCTTCAGGATTTCAACCGGTCCCGTTAGGATGGGCATGGCTGATATAAGATAGGGGGATGTATGTGTCAACTGGATTCCAATCTAACGGCAACAAGGCAACATGCAGGCACCATGCACCACACACCATCATGGAATCAAAGTCCAGTAAATAGTAAAAACGTGAATATGGGTGGGGCATGGTGTGTCTCACAAAAGAAAAGCAATAAAGTGGGAGAAGCCAACTTTTGTCAGAGGCAGGTTTAGGGTTGTGAACAACTTGTGATTCTTGTGAATGGATGGATCACCTATGACCTATCAGGGCCAAGAAGCGTGGGACTGTTGACCCAGGAAACTAGCCACGTGGCACGGTCAAATAATTTTCACAACTTAATTTAATCCATCACTAGTACGTAGCCTTGAACGTGATAGGGGCTCTCGTTACCCTATGCAGTCATGCTTGGCACAGACAGCAGCCACAAAGCATGTAATTCTGTGAGTTGTGAACCCTCGGTTGGAATCCAAGTGTTCACCGAGTCCTTACGGTTACGAAGGCTTGTTTTGTATATTGTAAGGCCGTGTTAATGATCAAGATTCAAGAATGAATGGCTATTTATGGCAGGGTTGGTGAGGGACATAGGGGCAGGTTTAGAATTGATGTTTAACACTGCACGGCACACCCCCACATCTTCAATTCAATTGCTCTAATTAAACAACGTGGCAAGTTATTGGTTGGATGTGGACACATTCCACGTGGCAAATTTAAAATAAAGGGCTTCAGGTATTAACGTTATCGCCACTCACTCAGCAATGCCTCAATGGGTCCGTCTCAATCAGCAATTGATCGATCTAATTCCACTACCGAGTGGCCTCATTTCAAAGAAGGTGATATTGAGTTTAGGAAATTAGGCCCTAGCAGTGTATTACTGTATTTGTCAAACGTTTGGTTGGAGACTTGGAGATGAGCGTGGTTTACATCCCTGATATCCCCATCCCCAGCGTGGGTTCTTCTATTATTTTAAACTTGAAGTGATGGGCTGATTGTTTAATGAACAAATTCTCCTCGTGTGCTACCCCAATCGTCTTTAAAATAACAACAATAAACAAACCCCAAAAAAGCAAAAGCAATGAATAGGCTTTTAGTTTTATATATAAGTATAAAACTAAATGGTTCATCATCATCATCATCATCATCATCATCACAAAGAGATTGGATCTTCTGCTGATTAATGACTTGAAATTAAAGAAATCTAAAGAGGTTTAATTTCAAGGGTTGACCGTCTTTATCATGTATATTTTCTACTTTACCAGAGGAAGCAGTCAGATTATTCATGACCAAACAAACCGTTGATCTTAACTTTAATATATATTGAAGTCAAGACTATATGTAAGCACGCATAAATTAACAAATGGGTTACATACAAGCAAAGAAAAACTTGCCTCAAGGCTCAATATATATAACTGGGATTAGATATGAAACTTTTAAGGTCGCTTGACTGAAATTGAAATACATTTTCCAGAGAATCGGTTGAAGGAACAGAAATAACATGTCCCAAGCATGCAAATGCAAGCATCCGCTAGATGTAGATGATACCATCTCTCCCCACCAAACCAGAAAATCCTGACTGAGGTGTGTCATGGTTTGATGACGGGAGTATGTAGTTTGTACAAGATTTTAAGTTAAAGGCATGACCAACCCACACCAAATCACACAAAATACAGACACCTACTTATGTAGTATGTAGTTTGTACAGGAGTATGTAGTTTGTAGAGTATTCTTAAATCTTAATTTGGTGTATTGAAACACAAACACAAAGATGATGAACAAACAACAGTTCTTAAGAAGAAAGAATGATCTGAAAATCAAATAATATATCAAGTAAATGTTCCTGATCATACTATAACAATGGAAAAAGAAAAAGAAGCCAAGTGTGATGAAAGAGAGACACTAATAACAATAAACCCACAAAGCAGCAGCAAGCAGGCGCAGGTAGCAGAGATGCAACCGGCTCTCAGACCTGCTGCTTATAATTATAATCACCATTCATCCATTACTTCTTTTTCATGAAATCTCATCCCTATACATTACCTTTCCCTGCAACCTACTCTTTTCTCTTATCTCTAACAATTTATTCACAACTCAAATTATCCATAACAATTCAAATAAATATGGAGACTTTCTCCTCTGCTCTTCTGCTCTCTTCTCTGTCTCTTCTTTGTTACAAACGAATTCCCCCAATCAAGAACGCGCCCATTGCTGCAACCCATGGAACACTGCACCCAATTTTCTGTTTCTGTTCTTTGTTCGTTGTTCTTCCTCCGATAACGAGGATCGTCCAGAGAGAAATTACAAGAATTGACAGAAAAGAAGTAAAAGAAGAGGAAGAAGACGCAACGGTAGCTAAGATAAATGAAAAGTTCGAAATGTTTCTTTTTTGTCTACATGAGGGGAAGGAGGAAAATGCTCAAAAGAATCAATAGAAAGGAGGCGGCGGCGGAGATGCGTATGATACCCCAAAAATTGGCGGCATTGGGCCCTCATATACCGGTGGTGGGCTCTCATAAACAGGTGGTGATGGAGGAAGTGACGGAGGATTTTCACATGCAACTGGAGGTGGCGGCGGTGGTGGTGGTGGTGGTGAAGGAGGGTTTTCACAAGGAACCGGAGGTGGTGACGAAGGTGGTGGAGAATGATAAACCGGTGGGGGAGGAGGGGGAGACTCGTAGTGAACAGGAGGTGAAGGTGAAGGTGGAGGTGGGGATGCATAATAAACTGGAGAAGGTGGTGGTGGTGAAGGCGGGGGCGGAGAATTATAAACTGGCGGGGGTGGTGGTGATGGTGATGGGGGAGGAAGGTAAGGAATTGATGGAGGGGAGTACTCCGGAGGCGGTTCTATGCATGGGGGTGGTGATGGCGGTGGAGGTGGTTCTATACATGGAGGTGGTGGTGGTAGTGGTGAACCGGGTGGTGGTGGTGGAGAATAGACGGGGGGTGGTGGTGGTGAAGCATAGTGTGGTGGAGGCGGTGAATGATGCGGCGGAGGTGGTGAATGATGCGGCGGAGGTGGTGAATGATGCGGTGGAGGTGGTGAGTGATGCGGCGGTGGAGGTGAATTATAAACCGGTGGTGGTGGGGAATACGTGGGCGGTGGCGGTGAATTAGGTGGAGGTGGAGTTCTAACACAATAAATTGGAGGTGGCGGGGATGG